AGAAAGAAAGAAAGAAAGAAAGAAAGAAAGAAAGAAAGAAAGAAAGACCCAGCTGGGATGCCAGAGATTCTTCTTTTTTCATGTTGTTCTTTTTTATGAATATCCTGATTGTTTTGCATTGGGTATATTGAGTGTGCAGAGGAAAGGTTGGAACTGAATGACAAAGACAGACGAAGGACTGGAGAAACGGCAGGTACTGTGTACGACTGAAGCTTCCTACTGGAGAAAATTCTCACTCTTGTGCAGGACAAGCAGCCCCCTGGATTTTAAAGATCATCCCTGGCCAAGACAGACACAGGCCTGCTCCTTGTTAGGAAACTCCGTAACCAGCTCTTTTGTTGGATTTCATGTTACCACTACTCCTGGGAGAAAAGAAGACAAAAAATATCCCTACATCACACCCACTCTTGCATAGAGCGTTTGCAGTAAAGTATGTGGCGGGGTGTTCCTTTCCTCTTGAATTGGAACACAGTGTAAACCAAGACAAGGAGGCACAGGGCCAGTATGCAAGGGATGACAATGGCTATAGCTTTCACAGTGCTGGCTGTGTTGTCCAGTTTGATGACAATGTCTACATCATCTTGAGGGCTGTGTCGGTCTTTGTCCCGGTCTGCTGGTCCATCACAGCCCATAAAATCCTTGAGGATAGATCTGGGATACCCCGGTTCCACTCGGAGCATTTGATTGTTGAATTTCCAGTATTCTTTGCCTTTGTAGAAATATGTGAAGCCTATTTAGAAACAAATATTGAATTATTTAAATGGATTGACATTTGGACATCTCTCAGTTAAATAACTTATTGCAAGTAAGGATGCAACTGCAATTTGGAAATGAATACAAGAACTCCCTACTTAATCAAAAGAGCATCCTGATTCCATACACTATCTTTAGTATAGAATGCTACACAATTTTATAAAACTTTTTTTCATAAAGCATTTCTCCTGCTTCCATAAAATTAAATTGTTTGCACACCGATCAACAATTCTGATTGAATCATGCCCTGAAGTCGAGCTTGTTTAATGTGATGGAAAAATTAAGATAAATACAGTTTTAAGTTGACACTTGAAAATAACTTGAGTCTGAGTTGCTCAAGGAGCAAAGGAATATTGGTCAGTTGTTGCAAATTATAGCAGTTAGTTAGTTAAATTGCTCCCACCCTCCTGAATCTCTTCCCTGTTTTATCATCAGCTTTAAAATGAACTCTGAAACATAAAACAGGTGTATACACTTCATAGCTTCAGTAGGGAACTAGAATTTGATCATTCAAAAGCAAACCAGGACAATTACAGGGTGCCTAATTGCAGAAATCAGTTTCCCTGCCAAAAAACTTTAAAGCTTTTACTGTCTCAGCTGAAAAATGGTACCAATCCAATAAAAACTTTCACAATGGGTATACAACCTCCTGTTATTTATCAACTGCATACAAACAATTGGGAGTTTTATCCAGTGTTATAACTTTGCCTCTCACAATGTGTGAGAGATAGTAAAATAAAATAAGTAGAATTAATTTGGTAAATGGCAACAATTGATTGCAATAATATAACAAACATTGGGCTTTCTCTTTGAATGATAAAAAGGACAAATCATTATTTTTTTTAATCACTTCTTTCCCCTATTCAAATTAAGCACCACTTCTTTTGGTTTCTGATTCAGATTTTTATGACAGGAATGTGAAAACAACTTGGCTTGGCCATTTATTAATTTTCACTATCTTTCTAAAAATTGAATGTATCTGAAGCTGCTTTGGAATAATTTTATTTTGGCGCCAGTAAACACAATCTTTCCCCCATTGTTAAACGTGCTTACTAGCTTGGCTTGAATGATGAGGCTTTAAAGATGAGAGGTAGGAGAAACAAAATATGTCCCTTGACATATTCTGCAAGTTTCAAGTTTTTGCAGTCTTCCGAATTGTTTAAGAATAAATTCCACTGAAATTGAAGAGACTTCCTTCAAAGAATATTTCCAATATTTCATTTTGAATGCAAAAATACTTTGGGTGATTGGGGTAATGGAATATCCATTTTAATGTGAAAGCTCACAACTGTTTTGTTTTTCTGGGATACCACTGTGGAAAGACTATGAACTGCTAGTAGGAGTTTCCATGGATAGTTTCCATTATCCTTCCATGAATCTTTTATTATGACTACAATGCAAGTTCATTTATCGACTATTTATTTATTTATTTATTTATTATTGCCACCTACTTGCCCATGGCGACTCGAGGTGGCTTACACAATGAAAAACCGTATTTAAAAAATAAAAAATAATAAAAACTAACAAAAAGAATTAAATAAATTAATAAAGTACAACAGACCAAAATTTGAGGGAAAAATAATTAGCTTAATATGCATTATTTTGACATAATACATCTTGTTTGGATTATTTGCTTGGATTGTTCTACATTGAATAATCATTACCTCATACTTTTGAAAAATTAATACTATATGCTGTGGTATTAGATACATACTTGACAGCATATAAGTTTGTTATATCTAAGAAGGTGATCTCCTAGCAGCAAAGCAATAACATCATGATAATTTTTAGGTTACTATAAGCAAACTCCCTCATAGTCTGTCACTTTTGTTCTACAAAAGCTAAGATCCTACTGGTGAGGAGAAAATGCTTATTTTGGAGGAACATAATTTTCTTAAGCTGTCAGGCAACATTCCTTTTCATTGATTCCCCAAACACCTCATCCTCCGTGACCTCCTAGTTGCTTCTTTTTACTCTCCCTTGTTCAACTCCCAACACAGCGTAGGTGTCTATGAGTCAGTTTCAGCTGTTTGCTAGAGAAAGCAATACATACTCTCTCTTCATTCCTGTTATTACATTCAAAATCTGGTTTTGGCAGTTTACTATTCTTTCTCAAATCTGAAGCTGGATCCTGGTTAGCCATTCCTTCAACAGGATAGAATGGGATCTGGAGAACCATCTGTATTGTATCTCCCAATGCTGAGAGAAAACTACCTTCAATTCCACTGAACTTACGGCTTAAGCTTTTATCCCCAGTGAGCTCAATGCAGCTGTTATTTTCCCTTTCCTGTACTTTCAGTGTAGCCAAAATCATCGGGGTGGAAAAGTTAAAGCTTCCCTGGTGATTGCAAAGTGCAGCAAAGTTTGGATTTGTAATGAAGTAATGTGCTGTTTGATTATTAGGACGCTAAATAGAGAATTTGTACTGAATACTCCCAGAGATTAGGAAAACAGATGAGAATGATGACACTGCACATGATCATTTAGCAAAGGATGTGGTATAATACATGGGAGACATGGAGAACCGGAAATAGAAGTGTGCATGCAACATTTGGATAGCAACTCTGCTTTCTTACATAGTGTAACCTCATACTATAGTCCTACATTCTGCTGAAACCTAGGACAAATTTAGATTTCTTGAAATTGTTTTTTGTTTTTAGATATTGTACACAAAAAATGTCCACATAAATATTGTTTAAAGGGAATAAATTGACTCTTTTTTATATATATTAGCAAGAAGTTTTTTTAATAGTTTTTATTCAAGAAAAAAATATTTTAAAAAGAGAATTATGTTCTCACATTTTACAGTGTTTCCATAACAGTGTACCCTATTAGTGTTAATTAAGATCATTTACTACAAAGATAACTTAATGCAAAAAGCTTTTAAGGTAGAATAAGATCTATGAGTTAAATAGCTTAAATCTGAACATGGCATGTTTTCCTGTTTCCTTCCAGCCCCTTCCACCCACCCCCTCACCCCAATGACGAGAGCCAAAAGGATTAAAGTAAGTTGCTAAATTAAAAGCAGTTCCTCTGAACCAGGGGTGAGATTCAAATTTTTTAACAACTGGTTCTGTGGGTGTGGCTTAGCTGGTGGGCATGGCTTGGTGGTCATGTGACTGGGTAGACATGGCTTGGTGGTCATGTTATTGGCTCGATGTGGCCAATTCAATATCACTCAATCGAGGCACACATCTCCTTGCTTGGCCTCTCATGACTGTGAGAATGCTGCAACAGTCATAAATGTGAAAAATGGTCATAAGTCACTTTTTTCAGTGCCATTGTAACTTTAAATGGTCACTCCACACAAACAAAGTACCAGCAAAGGAGGGGAATAAAACTCCAGAGACGTTCCTGAGACATGAAGTCTAGTCCTGCCAAGAATGTAATATGGGTTAATGGAGAGTCAGTTTCTGTAAGCAACACCAGAATGTTTCCTTCCTGCCTTCCGTACAGGATTAGGGCAGTAATTTCTTCTAACAACTGGTTCTCTGAACTGCTTAGAACTGCTTAACAACCAGTTCTAGTGAATAGGTGCGAACTGGTAGAATCCCACCCCTGCACTGAACCCTTTCCCCTAAAGCAATGTGATACAGTTTCAAGTGAAATCTCTGAAGAGGTGGAGGAAATGACTATAGGCAAAGTTTAATCACAGTTCTGTGAAACTAGGTATGGTGTTTCTCCTATATAACCTTGCCTGTTTTGTTTGCTTAAGCTTAATGCAATAGCCAGTACAATCCTGACTTTAGGGTGCAATCCCCAGCATAGTTTTTGCAGGCTTCAGCAGATAACTTGTTTCTTTCTTATTCTCTAAGAATCTGTATAATTTCTTAAATTTATCTTTAAAAAACAACCCAAAGAAAAAAAAGAAACATGCTTTCTTTTTAGTTTTATTGCCAGATATTACTTTGCCAATGTTTTAGAGACTGTGAAGTTTAGTGTGACTGAAAGACTGGAAAATCAATAACTATTTCTGTTATGTACCATGTAGATATGAGTCTAACAGACATGTAGCTATACCTGCAACATGGATGATTCATTTTTAAAGATAGATAGATAGATAGATAGATAGATAGATAGATAGATAGATAGATAGA